TTTTTCCACAGTGTAATGTTTTCAGTATCTTTATGCAAAATTGAAGTAGCATTATTATTAGCAAAAATGATTTCAAAACTAATTCGACAAATTGGCATCTGAATAAAGTGGATCAAAATCCATCGTTTGAAAAATTGTTTACACAAGAAAAAAACATCCACTTGTAATATCAAATAATCAATAAGACTTACAGATTTACATGTACATTTACCTATGAATTTATCCTTGCCAATTCTGCGATATGCAATATATATGTTATTATTTTTACAAAAATTTAATACTCTGTTACCAGAATTGTTTGGTCGACCAGTATCTTCACCATGTCAATCAAGAGACACATTTGATTGCCTCAGTTTATCAAAGTCTTACAGATATTTATTCAATTCATCATTGTTTCTCAAATCAATCACATGAGATAAATTATCATCTGGTACAATGTAATCACTGTTACAACTCGTTCTTACATTGAAGTCTCCTATTAGTGCAAACTTATTGTTCTTTTATGGTTAAATTTAACATTTCAGTTTTAATTTTGTTATATGCTTCATTTGATGAATACTTACTCATCTCAAGAGGTATATACACACACCCAATTACAAGGTTTACATAATTATTACTCAACTCAGACCATGGTACAAATGTAGACTCGGTACTGTAAAAATTAAAGAAAGGTTTTAGGTTTTCCTTGAAAATAACAATAATACCACCAGATTTCTTTTTAACATTATCTTGATGTTTAGCGAAACAAGTGTACCCTTCTGGTAGCAACAATATATCTAAATCATCAGTTCTCATGTCAACTAGGACAATAATGTCATGTGCTGTGATTAAATCATTAAATTCAGGAAGCAATACTTTTCACACCACACACATTTAGAGAAGTAATGTCTAGTTTGTATAATTCAGATGTAACACCCGGTGGGTAACCTCCTGTGGTGTACCCCTAGTGCTGCTGGTTTCTGCTGGAGCTTGGTCCCGTATGACTATGACATTTGAAAAGAGAGCTTATAATCTGTGCCACTAAAGGTAGAGCCTATAAGGTAGAGCCTATAATTTGTGCCTCGACAGGTGGAGAATATAATATGTGCCACTAAAAATAGAGCCTATAATTTGTGCCTCGACAGGTGGAGTCTATAATCTGTGCCACTAAAGGTAGAGCCTATAATTTGTGCCTCGACAGGCGGAGTCTATAATATGTGCCACTAAAGGTAGAGCCTATAAGGTAGAGCCTATAATTTGTGCCTCGACAGGTGGAGCCTATAATCTGTGCCACTAAATGTAGAGCCTATAATTTGTGCCTCGACAGGTGGAGCCTATAATCTGTGCCACTAAAGGTAGAGCCTATAAGGTAGAGCCTTATAATTTGTGCCTCGACAGGTGGAGCCTATAATCTGTGCCACTAAATGTTGAGCCTATAATTTGTGCCTCGACAGGTGGAGAATATAATCTGTGCCACTAAAGGTAGAGCCTATAAGGTAGAGGTTATAATTTGTGCCTCGACAGATGGAGCCTATAATCTGTGCCACTAAATGTTGAGCCTATAAGGTAGAGCCTATAATTTGTGCCTCGAAAGGTGGAGAATATAATATGTGCCACTAAACGTAGAGCCTATAATTTGTGCCTCGACAGGTGGAGTCTATAATCTGTGCCACTAAAGGTAGAGCCTATAAGGTAGAGGTTATAATTTGTGCCTCGACTGGTCGAGTCTATAATCTGTGCCACTAAAGGTAGAGCCTATAATTTGTGCCTCGACAGGTGGAGTCTATAATCTGTGCCACAAAAAGTAGAGCCTATAAGGTAGAGGTTATAATTTGTGCCTCGACAGGTGGAGTCTATAATCTGTGCCACTAAAGGTAGAGCCTATAATTTGTGCCTCGAAAGGTGGAGTAAAGTGAAGTGGTGTCACGGCGCCAATAAAGTGAAGTCACGGGACCAATAAAGTGAAGTCACAGGTCACGGCGCCAATAAAGTGAAGTGGTGTCTGATAAAGTGTAGTGGGTGAACTTCTTTGTTGAGAATGAAGAGTGGTGCAGTGTTGAGTGGAGATGAAGAAATCCAAACGCTGTTCAGGTTGATGTAAATTTATTGTGTGTAGACATGGAGAGGTGGTACACTCGCATGCCTTCAGGAACCGATTCGACGACTGGCTAGAAACCTAATCGTATTTATACTAAAATTCGTAGACATTGATAATCTAATATTACATATTTGCTAACAAGAAGTGGATAATACATGAGTTATTTACATGGTCTAATACACACACATAGTGGTAGATTAGGTTGTTTACGACAAGCTAAGGTTTTTGCTGACCAGTCCTGCAGACGGTATTGGTAAGCTTATGTAATTACGTAAATAACCAGGGAGCGAATGTATACTGGACATGTGTGATAGATTATTAACAGAAAGTATGTTCTGGCTACTGGACAACACGTTATTTATTCACAAGTCTACAAGTGTCATTAATAGATTAAGCTGTCTCCTTCTGGCATTTAAATTACGATTAGAAGTCTGACTTATGTCTAGTAGAATACAGTTTTGGATAGTTTACTTTAACTTACATATTAACTTTTAATAGTTCAGGAGCCTATAATCTGTGCCACTAAAAGTAGAGCCTATAAGGTAGAGGTTATAATTTGTGCCTCGACTGGTCGAGTCTATAATCTGTGCCACTAAAGGTAGAGCCTATAATGTTTGCCTCTACAGATAGAGCATGTCATTTTATTCAATGTCTTATTTATTCCAGGTGAAGCCTGTTCTCTGGAGTTGTGTGGTGCTACTTCTTCTCTCCAGATTCTACCTAGAGGTGGAGGCTCATTCCTGTTACGGTGATGGCATGTCATGTGTAGATCAAGGAGGAGAATGTGATCGTGAGGGAGGAGTATGTTTCATGCTACCTCCGGCATTTGAAGGAGATGGCATACGGTGTTGTTGTAGTGTGACTGATGACTGCGCTGGTGTTCCGAAATCGGGAATGATGAAGAAGATCGAACTTTGACCTACAGTCAAGAATCTTGAACTTCCATGACTAAGAATATACTATAATTGACATATGAATTTCAACAAAAGTGATGCTCCAAGAGAAACATTTCATTTGAAAAATTATTTTAGATATCAAAAAATTATATTAATGAAAATTTATCAAGCATTTAGTTTATTGCTTAAACAATAAGAATTTTTAAAATAAGAAAATAAGAAAAAGTAACTGTGTCAGTCTATAGACTAATGGAACACTGCTGTATTTTGTTGTGGTAAAGTAAAGTAACAAGATTTACTATCAAAATATCAGTATTATATAACAACAATCCCCTGAATAACATCACTTTTCCTCACATAATTACTTCAACTAACAAACTTGCTTGAGTCACAAAGAATCAGTAATGTTCATTGTGGTTAAATAAAGGTTATAAAAAGGGCAGAAACAAAGGCGCCAAAGAAATGAGCAATTGGAAGGACAAATAAATTTATACATTTTATATATCAATTCTTTATTCTTTTTTTTTAAACAGTCAGCCCCTTCGAGCCAGGTGAGCTAAAAACGGAGCATTTGTTGATCAATATCTGAAAAAAGGTGTTTTCTATCCTGTATAACTTCGACAAAATGTAATTTATCTATAACAATGCCATTCAAAGCTTATTTTTATGTCCCAAATAACATACTGATATTCTAGAGGTTTTTCCCTTTGTTCCATTCTGTCGCGATAATTTGACAGGGAATCAAAAACAAGAAAATGACATCATGTTATATAAGTCTTAATCAGAACCCAAAAATAGTGAGAAGATTCACATGGATAACCTTGCGAACATAAGAATATGACCAGGTGTCACGGAAAGGTAAGTGACTTCTGCTTCTCATGGACAACACCCAACATTTTAATGTACCATGTAGGTCAAGTTCTCACCTGAGAGCCAGATTTATAATGACGAAATTATCGGACATGCTGATACCATAACTTCTGATTTGGTTATGGTCAATTAGTATTTACAAAGTTATAATCATTTAACTTTTAGAATATTAATCACAAAAATGGTAAACCTTATTTGAAGAGCCCTGTCCAACTCAAATAAGTTATATATATATATTAATCTGCAGGCCAGGACTTCAAATTTATTTCAGATTCTTTACCATGGATTCTGAAGTCAGCTTAGGAGAATTTATTTCATGAGTAATGGGCACACCTCTTATCGGTAATTAATGGTGGCTGCTTAGAGGGCCAAATAGCAACTTCACATTTTCATTCCTGCAACCGTAAGAGCAATATCACAACAGCGAAGGCTTGAAAGAAGTCTTCCTGTCGCTCCCTCTCGTATTATTGGATTTTTTTGTAACAACAACCTTTTTGCTGACCACTCCTCTCAAAATCCCTGAATTGATTTTCATGAAATTTTGCAGAAACCTTCCCTGGCCAAAGATAAACAAAAATGTGAATTATATGCAGCACCTCCAAGGGGTCTGAGGGGTGGGGCCGAAAGGGGTTAAATGTTAAATTCACATAAATTTCAAGTATTATCTTCTCAGCACTCGGATATGGTACAATCAAATGTTCTTATTTTATGTTCTTCATGGGTATAAGGGAAGTCGTGTGCTTTACTAAAATTGTGAAATTCATGACCCCATGGTCTCACATTTGGGGAGGAGGTGAAGTTTACTTAAGTTTTTACAGAAAAAAAATGGATTTTTGATGATAACGTTATTTAATTTTCATTCTAAGAAAGTTGGTAAGAATTATCAGTATAGGATGACAGTTACAAAAAATATATTGACACTGGCTGACCCCAAAGGGCTTACATCATATCACTTAAGTCTTGCTATCATTAATGTCGCATTGTTTAATTTTCACATACACATACACACACCAAAAAATCGTACATTCACGTGGTTGATTTTGTACTTCAGAAACTAAATTTATGAGATAAAATTGACAGACATATAACAATCAGGCGGTCCGGAACACGTCGTCGGATTCCTCTAAGTTATTGCCCTTGGAAAGAACTCTTGTTTATCATTGTCGCCTCAGTGGAATCAACATGGCACTGCGTCTTCAAGGTTTTGTAAGGACGTTTGGAACGTTCGGGTAAAATATGCATGCTTTAACATTATTTTTATTGCAAAGATAAACTTATTTAAAATTCGATTTCGAAGATTATACAGAGGATATTTTATTTTTGTTACTGTCAAAAATCTCTCCTTGAAATGAGCGCCTGAAGGACACTGGATCGCGATTCAGGACTGGTTCCGACTCAACCGTCTGTTGGTTTGACTAAGGTTGTTCGTTTATGGAATAAAAATCTACCTACAGAAATAATTCTATTTTGCTTTCTGGTGAGCCCTGACATAGTGTTTCGAGACCTGTATAAATATTGACGTATGGAGCTTTCACATGGTGATTTATCAGCCATGGATTTCAGATGATCTGCTGATTATGTGCTTCAACTCAAATAAGTCCTCTTAGCTCTTGATTAAATGATAAATTATCCTGTATGTGTCACTCTAACGCACCGATATAGAGAAGGAGAATGAATCGTAAAGAAATTTGTGAAAGAAACTACACAAAATGGCATATACCCATTCACTGACATTATCCCTTGTGTAATTGGGTCATAAACACCTCAGAGCAAAATTTTCAAGAGAATATCATATGATATTGTATATGTACATGGGAACAGGGGACTGTCAACCCTCTCAAAAAGTATGGGTTTTTCTTATGTAGCATATCATTAGTAGGTGCACACCTACTTGGAAAATGTTTCAGAATCCACACAAATTTTTAACAGTCACACAAGTCTTCATCACCAGCTTTTGCCTTGAAGACAATCTATTGTTATATATATAATATATATAAAAGAGGAATGAAAATCTCATCAAATGGCACTAGGGACAGTTGCTAGCTTTATGATTGACCTGAGGGCAAGAAGGGGCCAGGTTCTTGCCATGTATGTCTGCCCCTGTACCATGGTTGTACATGTAACGTATAATAGATCTGTATGATACATCCCTTACCTATACTGAACTCTACTAGAATAACCTTGAAGCCCCTCGACTTTAAGCCAGAGCCTCTACGTGTAGGCAGGCTGAATGAGCATGCACAAGTACATGTTAGTTTTATTCGTCCTTCGGATTAAGAGATAGGCAGATACTTGTCAATTTGTAATTCGAACTGTAAAATGTTAACATAAAATATTGATCTGATCGTTTTGGTGATGACTGGAATGGAAGTTAATATGTTACCAATATTTACCTGCAGTAATCCCAGAAAGAGAACTTATCACTCAGTCAGGGATGGGCTTATTACAGGGGGCAACATGTTTGTAATTTTATTAAGCTGCAACATTACATATAGATGGACATAAGATATGGGCTTATTTAAGGATAACAGTAATAGATTTGGACAAGTTTATCAGACATTATCATCAAAATATTACAAATTTCTTCGCTTTATTAGCTGTTACCTTCGATATACATTATTTCGTTTATTTATTTTACAGTGTACGAGCAATGAGCACAGGAGAAGCGGGTTCTGGTGCAGGAAAGGTAATATATTAAATAAAGTTGTTCTACTTACTAATACTGTAATGTTGTATATAAGTCTCTTGGGTCTATATGTAACTTATTCTATTACTTTATTAAGGTGGAAATTCTTATCAATTTTCATGAAATAGAACGGTGTGTGTTAAATGTCTTTTAGGTGTTAAAATAAAGCTGGCTAAAACCTTTCAAGGTTACAGGCAAATCCAAAATTAATATTGAGAAGGGAAACCACAGAATTAATTGCTAAGGCCTGATGTATGTATGTATGTATGTATGTATGTATAATGATGTTTTGTTTGTTTCAGGGTGGTGGATCAGGTGGCTCCATCAGGTAGCACTTATAACAGAGAAGCATTTCTTGAAGACAGGTTTCCAAACAGTAACGTTCTTGTATCCCTTACAGCCGCAAGCAAACCAAATCCTGTCTGTAACCAGTTAGTGATAACAGTTATATATTAGCATTGTTCTGATTGGATACTTCAAGTGACCAATCAGTCAATTACATTTTCCCAAAATCAACATACACAATTATTACAAACTCAGTTGCCATTGAATTTGTGAAGTAAAAAAAATGGGGGAAGTGCCACAATGCACCAAAGGAAAAGCAAATTTAAAGTATATAGAACCATATGTAATCACAATTGGGCAGGTTCAACTGTTTCATAAAAACTTTGTGTTATACAATTTGCGAATCTGACAAAGAAATAAAACAAGTGTCAAATGATGACTTGTGCAACACCATATAATTTACAAATGCAGAGGACTTTCAGTATGACCTTTGTTAAACATAACAGTTAGGAAACAGAAATATAGACATGGAGTGTAAACAGATATTGTTAAAAATATTTATGTGTTTCAACCATTTTGATTTCTATATACCCTATAAAAAATCGTAAAAGAACAGAGAGGTATATATACCATCAATGACCTAATTAAAAATTCTGATCATTTGACATTTTTCTCCTTTGATGAGTTTCTTCATAAAGTTTTAATAAATACTAACTATTTCCAGTATTATGGCTTGATTACAGCCGTCAAGTGTTTCTTTAGAAAACATGATTTCCATCCATTAGGACTATTTCAACCTTTTATACCACTTCTAGGTCAAAAAGGTGCCAAAGACTTCTACAATGCTATTATTAAACCAGCTTTAGCCCCTACTGGTATTCGAAAATGGAGTGATGAGTTTGACTTTGATGATCAGAAGTGGGAAAAATATATTAATAATTCCGTTTACTATTACAAAAAGTTCTAAGCTACAGTGGTTTCAAGTAAGGATTATACATCACATTCTGGTTACGAACTCATTTCTTTTCAATATTAATTTAATACCTAGCCCTTTATGTACACTGTGTAATATGAAAAGAGAAACTATCGTTCACTGTCTATGGGAGTGTATAGAGGTACAGACTCTATTGGGGAGATTTGAATCTCTTCTTGATATTCTTCTGATTCCTTTTTGGATAAACAAAGAAACATATTTATTTGGAATTATCCATCCTAATGCTAACACTGTAGATAATGAAATTTTAATTCTCATTAAACACTATGTTTATATGTCAAGATGTCTACAAAAATCTCTTAATTTAAATGCTCTTATAAATAAGATGAAGGATCATTTCCATGTTCAAAAGTACAACATTTCCAGCAAAAACACTATTATGAAAACAAATTTTGAGAATAATTGGAAAAAATGGATGCCCATTTTGGAACTATAGTATGTATGCTAACAAGTCTGTTCCCAATGGCCATGGCCTTGACTTTACCAAACTGACTTTAAATTTATTGAATTTCCACAAAATTAGTGCTATTTTTATTTAATAATGATTATAACCCTCCCAATTCTCTCTCTTTTCCTCTCTCACTCTCTCTCTCTTACTCCTCTCTCCCTCTCTTTTTTTGTTTAGGATGTATAATTTTTTTTTATATATAAATGTATTCATGAGTGAGTATGTGTGTGTGAGAAAATATCTTTGATAAATGTAAGTGATATGATATTGGTTGTGTGTGTGTGTGTGTGTGTGTGTGTGTGTGTGTGTGTGAGAAGTTTTTGTTAAGTACATGTAAGTTTGCTATGTGAGTGTAAGTGGGTGTGAATGTTGATGATGAGTGAGTTTGTGTGCAGTAAGTAGGAAATACATGTGCATGATAAAGATGATGATGATGGTGATGATGATGATGATGATGATGATGATGATGCATGTATATGTGTAAGACATATGCAAGTAAGAGCACACAAGTGTAGGTGTATGTTTTTGTGTGGATTCTCTTGTATATTGTATATTGTGTAATATGTAAAAACTTGTCAAAAAATAAAAGAATTACCGGGGTACAAAAAAAAAAAAAAAAATGAACAGAGAATATATAACTATAACTCACAGGATAAATGTTTTATTTTGAACAATGCGGAGTGCATATTAGATCAGACTTATTCTGAAGTTTGAAGGTAAATTTCTTTTTTAGCCCACCATATGATCCAAATCGTTCTACATCAGTGGTCCATCGTCTGTCTGCCCAAAAGCAATTTTTCTCATCTCTATTTCTTGATAAAGAACTTGATGGATGTCTCTCAAATTTTATATGTCGGCTCCACTTGGTCCCTTCTTTTTTTTGATGGATTGATTTATCTTCAGAAGACTCAGTTTAACACTTGGACTTCTTAAACCTTGTTCATATACAATTCTTAAATCTTTTTTTTTTTTTTTTTTTAAAGTTACTTGTACCTCTGTACTAATACGAATGTAAAATTGACATGAACGTAAAGTATTACTTTTTGTTAGTGCCATCTTCATTGTTATTTTAGAATTCTCTATAAATATTATAAATTTTGTATGACCCCTTTGATTTTGAAAATTTTGATGTTACAGTTGCCCCTGGTGGCAATTTCTAAGGATAACAATATATAATTGTATATTTATAGAGATGCTGGTGGTAGTTTTGGTAAGATGGAGGCTGCACATGAAGAACAATACATGAGAAAACTGGTAAATATATATATAAATATATTATTTTATGGATACACGTGTTATGTATATACTGTAGACAATTTAAAGAGTCCCATGCTCAGAAAATGATAAATTTAAATTGAAGTTTGAATGTTTTCAATGGAGACAATTCAAGTTTGTATGATTTTGCATTAAATGTTGACTGACAATTTATGGGATAATGTATCAGATGTATTCCGAAAATTCAAATGTGGGGAAAGTTTTCAAGGGAGATAATTCAAGTTTGCCATAGTATGATTTTGTATTATGTGTAGGCTGCCTATATGTGAGATACATATGATAGGATATATTGGATGTGGATGTTTACCTGTGAAATATGTGATATATTTGAAATACCAGTATAGGTAATAAGTGTTCATATTGGTCAGACGCTTAATGACAAACTAAGCGATTGTTTTCAAGCATTAAAATGTTGATATTTCTTATATCATTATAGGCACAGGAACAGTTGCAACAGCTGAAAACTCATCACGAGGCTGAGATCAGACAGCATGAAGTAAGTCTGCCTCTGTTTACATTAGATGGGGTCATTGAGAATTTCAAACACTTCTTTACTTTTTGTTCCTCACAGTTCCTTTAATAGAGGATAATCAAATAGAAACAATTTTATAGGATTTTTCCGTGTTAATCACCTCCAAATGAGGGTACAAAACACCCCAAGATGGTGAACTGCAAGACTTGAGCCCCCAGTTTTCAATGATTCTGCATGTAAATATATTGTTTGGTGTACACTGTAGTCTCAAATTAAAAAAAAAAAACTAGGAGAACACTGCCTCTATATTTGCTCATGAAATAAACATCCTGTTTGATATACATTCTTAAAATTTTAATGCAAGAAAATAAAACAGACAATTTTGGCAGTAGTAACCACACCAGAAGTGTATTACATTGTACAGGTTTGTTTTTTATGGTTTCTAGGAAGCGATCAAGAGACACAAGGAAAATATTAAAAAATTAAAAGGCGATGACAGCGGCAGTGACAGTGACTGATCACAAGGTCACAGGTGAGGACAGTGGCGGTCCCAAATCTTCTCATGGTATTATCTACAGAAGGTGTCATGTGTGGATTACAGTGTTGCAAAAGATGGAAAGAATGACTGGTTAATTTAAACACAATTTTATAATAAATTTCCCCGAGAAAACTTTGACTTCTGTTCTATTTATAGTACAAAAAAACTGTATTTTCAATCATTTAACTTTTAAGAAAAGGGTATGATTTAATGGAAATTTCAGCGATTGCAGTGTAATAATGCCTTTTTAAATGGTTTATCTCATATTTTTGACTCTAAAATTATCAAATAGAGAATCACATCATGATTTTTTTCTCAGAAAAATGGTTTATATAGTAAGAGATGTCATATTTGAAAATTACAGAAGGAATGCATGAAATTTGTATAAATGATGACATAAATTAAAAATGAATGTTAATAAAAATCATGGGTATTGTGTTAATGTGCACATGTAAAGTGATTGCAATAGTTGTTGACAGCGATTGCTCTAGATGTTGACAGTGATTGTAATAGTTTTCGACTGATAGTTTGCAGTCTCCCTCTAATTAAATTAACAGATATCAATATATGACCTGATTGAATATAAAATTCATGATATCAGTGTTTTCACTCTTGTCTTGTTTGTAAAATTCCATGTATTCTATTTAACACATCTACTTAAAACTTAAACACAGATTGGGACACGTAGTTGCAATGTACATGTAGATATTAGTGTCACTATTTTCTCTCTGCTTGTCGACAAAATTTGAAGCTTTGATGTAATATGCAAACGTTAGGAGTTAACTAACCTGGCATTGAAATAGGCTGACTTTCATGCTGCATCGAGTACATTAACATAATAACACTATATACAATGTGTATGAAATTGTCCAGTTCGAAAAAGTAAGTTAAAGAAAAATATAATAAAGAAGTTGAAAGGCTAAAAACAAACCATCGTCTTAACCAAAATCTTTGATTCCAGAGTTTAGCTATCAATTTTGTCAAAATCAGAATCATCTTATATTTGTTTACATTTTATCAGTATTTGAACTTTTTTTTATTTTTGGATCATATGTAGTTAAAATAATGTTTCAAAAATAAGTGATAACATCATCTGAGCACAGAGGATGTGATATAATCATTTCTACTGAAGACATGAAGTTAAGGTCTTTTTTTCTTGATAACATTTATGAAACGCTCTACTACCCTTGATTTTTGCGGGCTAAGATCAGGTATTAGATGAATAGATATTGGCGACACTGTTCACTAATGGTGTAACTTTCTCTAGTTACTGTCTTTATGTGCTCACACAGTTGATAAAGTAGGGGAGATTTTGTTGTCACTCCAGCAGTCTTTGTTAGGTTTGTATTTTATTAGGGATGATATTCTCAAGGTACTCAAGTACAGGAAGTTTCAGCAATATAAGTAAGACTTAATGGTCTCTTTCAAATTCTGTATTTTCTACAGACGCCATTCCATACAGACTTCTCAATAATTCAGAATGATCCCAGCAATATCTATCTTTACAGAATTGCAATCTCAATAATCTGAACTTTCAGGGATATTTGATTTAGAAGGTGATCTATAGTGTGTTAGTGAAGTATAAATATCACACATGTCAAATAGTTGCTTTATTCATAACAGCTCTATACGGAGTATCAGTTCATTTTAAGTGGCATGTATAACCTTGATTGAGATAATGATCACAAATTAATAACAGAAAAAGCACTTGTAATACATTTACCTTTTATTCATTCATGGTAACATCAAAAATACTTAACAAGAGCTGGTATAATTACTGTATAGTACAGCAATACCTTGTTCAGTATGGCACATGTACAAAAATATCAAAATATGACAAGGCACCCTCACTGCAAACACTGGTGCAAGTTTCTTTAATATCAAATCACATAAAAAAAATTTATTATTTTTATCATAAAATTAAAAACATCTCATTGTGGAAGATAGTTCTTATGAACAGGCATGGAAATGAAATATATTTAACAAAAATAATTAAAGCAAATTTAATAAAAAATACAACTGTATAAAATACCACAGAAAAAGCAATATAAATTACATTGAGTATAATCTCCAATATCTTTAGTGTGGTAGTCAGTGAAAACCACATGTTCCTCGTCCACAGAACTCACACATACATGTCTACTAGATCCAGATTGTGTTCACATCTCAATCCCATATACAGTGTATGTGTCATCAGCAGAGATCACAGTAATCCTGTAATTATGTGTTAAAATATAGACAATAACATGGAGGACCACATTTATATAATTAGACCAAAATGGATATCACACCTAAAATGTCTTGGCCAATAAGAAGATGTGGTAGCCATGTTGGATTATGGGACTTACTGTTTTCATTGGTTGCAACATAATATACTTTAACATATTTGGCCAATTATAAACAACTTCAAAAGGTATATGTATGGTATTCCATCTATATGGTTTAGTTTAAATAGTTTAAATAATGTATCACCTGTTTTTTTTTTGTTTTTTGTTTTTTTTTTTAAGTAAATTTATCCTTGACATATTTCCAATTCCAATTTGGAATCCTAATTTAACATAAAGCAGTATATATATTCACATGTATTATCCCACAAGAGAAACAAATTTCATGTAAGGTACCTTTGTATCAGAGCTAAGTGATACTCAACTGTTATTGGATGGGAACAATTTTTCCATTTATAATACTTAACCCGTAAGTTTGAACTTAGACATTCAGACTTGAACAAACAATTGCAAACACTGATTCTCACTGAAGGCCAAATTAACTCTAGTTTTGAGCATAGGCCATCTTATTACAGGACAATATTAGTTGGATTGAAGAGCCCCAAAAACTGGACAAGATCAGTGGTGACTGCATTGACAAGGCTTGCAAATAGGATTACAGTATTAGTGGTAACAATGTATAGACATGTGTGAAATTTATAACCATGAATTTGCCCAACCCAAGACAACTGTGAAACATTAGCCCCAGAAAATTTAACAGCTATACAGAAAATATTAATGAGGTTTGAATAACATTACAAGATCTGCATACAAATATGTGAATTGTTTCTCATTCATCAATTCAATAAGACAGTGCAAAGTTTGTTTCAAATAAATAAATTTTAATATAGATATTGAATTTCCAGACATGTAATTGTATAGGTGTAAATATCTGTTGCATTTGGGATAAAACAAATGTTGTAGAGTTAGAATTAAATTCGGGTATTGATATCTGTATAGTGTATGGTGTTTGTTTGGATGGGTATATTTAACCTGTTTAAGATACATTATTATGTAAATGTGTGTATCGGAGAATACGCGGCAACGAAATATTGTACGAGCAGCTGAATAACCATAAACAGATAACTCAGCCATAGACACATGGACACATTTACTCCAGGGTCACATTTACTCTAGTCAAATCTACAGTCACAATTATTCCAGAGTAAACTCTACAGAGTCACATTTACTCCAGAGTCACATTTACTCCAGAGACACATTTACTCTAGTCAAATCTACAGTCACAATTATTCCAGAGTAAACTCTACAGAGTCACATTGACTCCAGAGTCACATTTACCCCAGTCAAATCTATAGTCACACTTACCCCAGTCAAATCTACAGTCATATTTATCGCAGTCAAATCTATAGTCACATTTACTCCAGTCAAATCTATATCACATTTACCCCAGTCAAATCTTCAGTCACATTTACCCCAGTCAAATCTAGTCACATTTACTATAGTCAAATCTACAGAGTCATATTTACCCCAGTCAAATCTACAATCACATTTACTCCAGCCAAATCTACAGTCACATTTACCCCAGTCAAATCTACAGTCACATTTACTCCAGTCAAATCTACAGACACATTTACCCCAGTCAAATCTACAGACACATTTACCCCAGTCAAATCTATAGTTGCACTTACCCCAGTCAAATCTACAGTCATATTTACCCCAGTCAAATCTACAGTCACATTTACACCAGTCAAATCTACAGTCACATTTACCCCAGTCAAATCTAGTCACATTTACCCCAGTCAAATCTACAGTCACATTTACTCCAGTCAAATCTACAGACACATTTACTCCAGTCAAATCTACAGACACATTTACCCCAGTCAAATCTACAGACACATTTACTCCAGTCAAATCTACAGTCACATTTACCCCAGTCAAATCTACAGTCACATTTACCCCAGTCAAATCTACAGTCACATTTACCCCAGTCAAATCTAGTCACATTTACCCCAGTCAAATCTACAGTCACATTTACTCCAGTCAAATCTACAGACACATTTACTCCAGTCAAATCTACAAAGTCAAATCTAAAGACACATTTACCCCAGTCAAATCTACAGTCACATTTACTCCAGTCAAATCTACAGTCATATTTACCCCAGTCAAATCTACAATCACATTTACTCCAGTCAAATCTACAGTCACATTTACCCCAGTCAAATCTACAGTCACATTTACTCCAGTCAAATCTACAGTCATATTTACCCCAGTCAAATCTACAATCACATTTACCCCAGTCAAATCTACAGTCACATTTACTCCAGTCAAATCTACAGTCACATTTACTCCAGCCAAATCTACAGTCACATTTACCCCAGTCAAATCTACAGTCACATTTACTCCAGTCAAATCTACAGTCATATTTACCCCAGTCAAATCTACAGTCACATTTACACCAGTCAAATCTATAGTTGCACTTACCCCAGTCAAATCTACAGTCATATTTACCCCAGTCAAATCTACAGTCACATTTACACCAGTCAAATCTACAGACACATTTACTCCAGTCAAATCTACAGACACATTTACCCCAGTCAAATCTACAGTCACATTTACTCCAGTCAAATCTACAGTCATATTTAACCCAGTCAAATCTACAGTCACATTTACCCCAGTCAAATCTACAGTCACATTTACCCCAGTCAAATCTAGTCACATTTACCCCAGTCAAATCTACAGTCACATTTACTCCAGTCAAATCTACAGACACATTTACTCCAGTCAAATCTACAGACACATTTACCCCAGTCAAATCTACAGTCACATTTACTCCAGTCAAATCTACAGTCATATTTACCCCAGTCAAATCTACAGTCACATTTACCCCAGTCAAATCTACAGTCACAT